AAGGTAAACATGAATGTACATCAGGCAATTAGCATACTCAGCTGATGTAATTTTCTCACTATTTTTCAGAACTACTAGGATCGTCCAAGAGGATAAATCTGAACTTCCAAGACCAAGATGGGTAAGAAAATTTAAAGTCTCGTGTCTGCAAGGTTTTCATTATACTCCAAATACAGTCAAACCTGCCAAGGTGACCACCTCTTCAAGCTGGCCACCTGGCCATGGTGACCGTTTTTTCTCGGTTCCAAAAATTTTCCTCATTGACACAAGCATTAAGCAACCTGTCCAAGATGACCACCTGGCCAACGCAACCACCCCTGAGTTGGGTCTGCTCAAGGCCTGACACCTGCCCATGGTGACCACATCATTTTTGATCATGTTGATTATTGATGATTATTAATGAGAAATAATGGAGAAACCAGCCAGTTTGCCTCGACTGCTGGATGACGGTTTTGTTTGACGTAAATGTTCCACCCTCCCCACATGCATTTACAGCATTTGACATTAAACATCTCGACTTGGAAACCATTTATGTCTCAGTCATGTTGTGAGGTGACCCTCTTCAAGGAGATGAACTGTCCACTTTTCTTTGGTCCCCTGGGTGGCCAGCTTGGACAGGTTCGACTGTACACCAACTAACTGCCAAACTCTGAAAGCAAAAGATCCTACTACACTTTGTACCATGAAGTAGCAGGTGTTTCGAATCTTCTTGCATCAGCCAACTGATAATTGCCAACCCCAGCCAGAACAACACTTCACAAATTAGATTTCACACTCTCTGCCACCCCCTACCATTCACACAGAGCCCATGGACCTTTCTGGAACATTTGTCCTGTGTTTTAGGCCACACCAATTTAATTTGTTGTTTCTCGGATTCGCCCTGTCCATTTTTTTTCTGATTTGCCAAAAAAAAAAATTTTTTTTTGTCATAAATAAAACTGCAAAATGCTCAATGAAAGACATATTTTGGCCCTAACAGTTGAAGAAAGTCCTTTTCTTCCTAGGCGTTAAAGTTGTTCAGTGTAACAATGCAATTTTGTTTCATTAAAAGTTCAAAATCTATTGTTTTGATTATAATGAGCCTAGTATGTTCACTTCATGGCTCATATTGTAACATTTCCGGCTATCATGGGGTGCCTTGGCCTTTTTTTTTTTTAAACTTCGCCCTGTCGCTTCATATTTTTTCTGAAGTAAATCTGAGAAACAACAAATTAAATTGGTATGGCCTTAGCCTGTTTTATATGCGACCACTGGGGTAGTGCAGTACATTTTGCATTGTTTCCCTGCCACAAAGGCTGAATTACAGGAGTAGTAGACAATATGGTCGTTAATTTACTTGCTTGCTAATGCAACTAGCAAGAGATTGCAGGTAGATTTCATATTGAGGATCAAAATTGGAGCTGCATAAGTCGCGTAATTTATCATTTATTTGGCCTCTTTTCAAGGGCAGTTTTGAAGTAAATCTTGACTGAGTATCATTTAGGGACAGCTCATGAAATGTATTTGTTGGACTGCATGGAGTGGATAACACAATATTTGGTAAAAAAACAAGAATTGATCATAAATTTTTATATTTTCACGACCATCTTTCTCAGTGTACAGCTTTCTAGATAAAGTTGGTCGCAAATTCACTCACACTCACTATCCTGGTTTTGATTGAGGAAAAAATGTTGTGTTTCCTGTTTCAGTCCTCAAACAATTAGGGTTGATAGGTAGGAATTTTCTTTCTTTCCTTCTCCTTCCAAGTCTTCGAACTTATATAATATAGTTTTATACAAGTAAAATTTGCATGAGTACACTTATATATTCAACATCAAAATTGTACTGAATTTCATCACTCAGGTGTCAGATCATACTGATACATTGTAGTTAAGGTCGAAAAATTTATGTTTCTTGCAGGGGCCCACACAAAAAAAAAGCTAGGGTCGGCAGTTTTTTCTAGGGCCAGTCAGGAAACAGGAAACACAACATTTTTTCCTAGGCCTAAAGTTGTGGAGCAGTTTCCTTTGCCTGGAACTGTGTCCCTTTAGTTGACAGGGGAAACCACAGATAGACAGTCTTTGTGTCAGCAACAGAATTGATTCTCTCCACTAGACCAGAAAGCAGACAGTCTGGGCCCTCCCCTGTCATGGGGTGGAAGTCAGGGAGGCAGAAGTGAAACACCTTTGACCACTTGAAGTGAAGTATCCTGTGTATTGACATGCCAAGTGGATAACTGAAACTGTAGGCAGCTGTTATTCTAGAGGGAAAAGGAATGCATCCTGAGGTTGGGTAGGAAAACATAAGGAAAATGGGATAAAGGGATTTTCTCTTCTCTTCTCACAATCGGTACCGTAATGTGTCTCACCTGTTTCGATGCCTATAAACAATGAATTTTGAACTTTCAATCATACCACTGCATTGATAGATGGAAAAATTGTAACAAAAATTGTAACAACTAGGAAGAAAATAACTTTCCTCAACTGTTGGGGGGCAAAATATGAGCATTTGATTCAGAATTTTTTTTAGTTGCAAATCAAAAAATGAAGAGGCGAATCTGAGAACCAACAAATTAAATTGGTGTTGCCTAATAAAAATGTTTTTGTTTCATGGCTGTAGCATCTAAATTCTAACCTGCAGTTTAAAATAAAGCTGCCAGGGGGCCTCGAATCTCCTTAGGCCAAGGCCTACAGTCATCCTCTTGAAACACATAGTAGAATGTAATTCTCAAAATACTGCAGCAGCTTTTGCAGAATTTGCAAAATTTGAAGGAATTGGAGTATGAGCAGCTGTCATATATTGAAGAGGAAGACAAGTGTCAGAGTTAGTGGAAGCCGACATTCCTGCCCTCCCATAGAACAGGTTAAACTACCAGACAAAAGTGAGAGTGCCCCACCAATAGAACAGATGGGAGGGGGTACCCCAGGGAGAGGAATGGGACCATGAGTGAGTGTGCCTGCCCTCCCCCTTTATCCCAGCCCTTTCATGTCTGTTGGTGCAGAAAATCTCCCATTGACAAGGTACAGCTGACCGGCACATGTAGAATTAAATGTAGATTCCTGAGCCCTGGTTATTTGGTTAGAAAGGGAATGAATGAATGAATGAATGAATGAATGAATGAATGAATGAATGAATGAATGAATGAATGAATGAATGAATGAATGAATGAATGAATGAATGAATGAATGAATGAATGAATGAATGAATGAATGAATGAATTATTGCGTGGGTTATAATCTATCAACTTAGATGAGAACCATACAGGGTTGACATATGATTTCGGAATCCACGAAGCTTTCAAAGTCTGATCAAATACATGTAAATTAATCAATTTTAATTTTTTGAATTATAAAGTACTTTCCTGGCCACTTTTTCTGGACCATCCTCCCAAATGAAAGAGAAAATCTTTCATATTCATATCTTTTAAAAAACGAATCATTAGGAGACGGTAAAGTCTGGAGTAAGTTGGTAAATTGTGGGACTACTAAAGAATAACTACCGTTATTTTGCCATACAGGGATAATGCTTTACCTTTCCATGGACGCAATATTCGGTCTATCCTATCCAGCCTTGGTTCTATATTTGCTTCAACAATTGAATTCATATCAACAGGAATGTGAACACCTAATACATCAACCTCTCCATCTACCCAAATAGTGAAAATCTTGCATAATATCGCTTAAGCTTTCAAGCCTTGAATTTGATGGAAGAACATTTTTTATGCATTTTGCAAAGAACACAACACGTTAAGCCACCCTACTGTTACATAGTATATCTGGTGATTTACTTAAAGATTAAAGGCTACTCCCTGGGAGACAGGACATAGTTGTACAAACCTTGACTCACATGGTGCTTCAAGGGCAAGTTCAAGCTGCCCAGCCCTACTGGGGAGTCAATGTTAATCCCTGAAGTCTCACGGATCACTGATGATGTGCAAATAACTTACTGTTGGCCACAGCAACCAAGGCCATTGGTGCAAAGAAATGTATACACATGTGACCACAATGACAGAAATAGTAGAGATGCCATTGATACAAAATTTATCACATAGTTGAAGACTGCAATTGTCATATTTAGGCCACAACAAGTGAATTTTATGGAATGCATCCTCCGCAGACTCAAAATCTAATGCGAAAGGGTGAGAAAAAAAACAAGGCGGGCCAAAAAAAACAAGATTCCTACATCTGCAAATTTTGACATCATATTCATAAACCTTGTTAAACAAGAAATGCTACCTATTGTGTTAAGTTTATTACCAACTATTACAATGTCCAAAAGTTTTGAATTATTGTACAAATGGTTTTGATTCAGTGGGAACATAACGTATAAAAGGAACTAAATACATCAAGGTAAAAGACAAAACAATAAATCAGAGCCTTTTCTTGTCTCCTCTCTTCATAATGATGATTCTTTATTGACACAACAAAAAGTACAGAGACTTTTGTATGGTCTTCTACAACTTAACTAAAGATCTAACAAAGCTAAATACATGTGTGGATAACGTCATCTTACGTACAGAGTATATGTATGATGTAACAATAAAGGTTAACTATTCTCTAACATGTGGTCTCTAAGATCGAAACATTCTTTAATGTATTTTCCTATTTGAACACTGTATTGGTTATCTCCCCTGAGAATGTAGTTGAATTTATCTATAGCATCTAACGTATTGAAATCAATTGAACAAGCGGAAAGAAAGGTGAACAGCAATAGGCGCTTATCATTGTATAGTGTACAATCCATTATAAAATGGTGCTCATTTTCAATCTTGTTTGGACAAAATGGACAGAATCTGCCATCCACGTTCCAGCATGGCAACAGACATCTTTGCTCATTTCGGGCGGCAACAAAATTTTCTTTCTTCCAAAATCAGACGAAAATTAATGCGCGCGCTGATGTCATCCATAAAAATTACTTGCTGTGGCCATTACCACATAGTAGAAGACTATAATTGTCATGTTCATCTATTGAACTATACAATGTACATGTTTTGTTGTGTTTTTTCTGCCTGTGTAGGTTTTCAGCTCTGCACCATGTGGCTCTCAATGGTAACTCTGAAATCCTGAGACAACTGCTTGAAGCGCAGGCAATGGTAGACATCAAGGATAATAAGGGTACGTATATCATATGCATAGTATTAAGTTAACATATTTAAAATTATCTAATGTTATCAATATCACTGTGTCTGATTTTAAGGTGAACAAAATATCAATCATATGATTCTTTCTGGAGTACTGGTAAAAGGTGTCTGAACAATACCTTTACGGGTAGCCTGGCTTATGGCTTGCCTTGTTGACCTGAAGTAATGATGGGCAACCAGCCTTTTTAGGTAGCCCAGTGCGTAACCTCAGAAAATGTCTTTTAACTCTGTACTATAGTACTATACTACAGTATAGTTACAAGGTTAAGCAGCATGGTGAAGGTTAAAGAAACGTGTTGCCAAAGACTCTACCTGTAGGGTGGTATGAGAATGTTATCAAAGCAGGTAGTGTGGAGGAAGACAGCTTCCTGTAGGAACTCCAATGTACTTGCCAGACTGTTGACATGTACACAATGCATAATACAGAGTTTATTATTGTACATCCGTTCCCATCCCCATATGCTGACAGTGTAACTTAAACAGTGACAAAACAGACAAACATACAGAAGAGGCAAAGGCACCGTACCCAGGCCTCGAAATGTTTTTCCTATTTTCCTAGTACTGTCCCAAAAATAAATTTCAGTCGTCCGGAAGTGAGGATGAACTGTCCCAACCTGTTTTTCAGGAAGTGAACTTGAAGTCAGCTTTATTTTGCTTTGTTCTGACTTCCAGGTGTGCTATAATTGAAGAGTAAACTGGAAATTTAGGGGAGCTTTTTCCGGAGCCAAATAAAAGAGGGGCTGATATTCTGAAGTTGATTATTTAAATATTTTCTGTTGTCCAAAAAAAGTCCCAAATTGTCTTTTTAGTTGTCCCAGCTTAAATTTTAGTGGTCACTGTCCATCGGGACACCGTTAATTTAGAGCCCTTCTGTACCACTGTGGTAAAGTTGCGACAATACTAGAATGACTAGCAAGAGCACTACTGTAATATTATTCCTGAATTTTTCACCATACTGTTATGTTCACTGTTTTCACTGTCTCTTCTGTTCCTTCTGGTACATTACAGTTAACAAATAATTCCTGGACTTTCTTTTTCCTGCACCTGTCGCCACCGTGAATATATAGGTCTGTGAACCTGTCCATTTTTCTCAGACTGTGAACTTTTGATGCGGTAAACATTAGTGAATTACAGTATTTAGTATTTGACAGTTTTGTATTGAATCAGTGTAATGGAACCCCAATTTCATTGATTGACTTGATCAAATTAACCCACAGAAATTAAACCAATTAGCAGGCAAGTTGACACCTCTGACCTGATGTGTTTGTTATCTCAAGTGTCCTGTCAACAAGCCAGTGGCATCTGTCAGCAAACTGTCAGTCTTTCTACAGCCTGTTTGTTGGTCTTGTCACCTGAGGTGGACATCAGGTTTTAAATACAGGCCCACACAGAGTGATGGACGAAAGTTAGGAGATGATGGTCAAAGAGTCTGTTTGTATGTTGTGTACATCAGAACCCCTACATTTTTTTTTAATTCCCGAATTTCCTGAAAATTATACATAATGGAGTTTGTACCTACATGTACCTACAGAGGGCCTGCATGGGGGGTCCCGACAACGCTCTACCCTAAATTTTGAGAGCTGGCTATATGTGTATTACACTAAATGCAGGAAGCCTCCCCATTACGTTGTAGGATAAATTCCAGGTAGAATCAAAATGGCAAATTACGCTCTACGCAAAATGCGCCAACTACACTCTACGTTGAATTAGAGCGGTCTGTCTACACTCTACGTAGAATTAAAATGGCCGATTACGCTCTACAGAAAAGGGCATGTGGGCCCCCATTACATGGTCATGTACAATGTAGATCCAAGCCTCAAACCGTTGAAAACCTAATAGTATGAATTCATTGAGGTTTCTAGTACATTTTGACACTTCAAACAATAATAATGTTATGAAAGAAAGAGAGAGAGACCGTATACATGTAATACTTACTTGAAGGTAATATCCATAAAATTTTAAGAGCAGATGTATATTAAGTCACTTCTTAGTTTGTGTCTTGTGAGTAGGCCTGCAGACTCAAGACATCTTGGACTGTGGGAAAGTGACTTGACAGGCCTCCAGGGCCTTGTGGGAAAGTTTGTAGACTATGGAGCCCAGGGCAGGAGTTTCCGCCACCTGGTGGAAGAACATGAGCTGAAGACTGGCCTTCTGGTGTCAGGGCTCAAAATACTTTTTTTGGCGATGCCTTAGGGGCGGAGCCATTTGTGTAACTATGGTCGCTTTGAAAGAATTTAAAAAATTGTACGAATGCATTCCCTGGGGAATTAGTTTTGAGGTAGCCTTCGGCCATGTGGTTTTTGGACCAAGCAGGAAAGGCCTTTGTTGCTTTGTGAAAGACACCATTTTGGGAAAATTGTAGCTTTTTGCACACAGAATATTAATGACATTCTTAATTGACATTTGAAATGTGTGATTCTTCTATCACGACAGATCTAATATAACTCTTTGTTGCTTATGTTCTACATACTGTACATGAAGATCACAATTCCTTTGTGGTACTTTTAAATTCATGTTTTTCGCGGTCATTTCTGAACTACTTATATATATATATATCATTACCACAACTTGATCGTCGACCTTCTTTTTCTGCACCTGCCACCACCGGGAACTTACAAATGTATGCTTCCGCAAACATGTCCATTTTTCTCAGACCGTGAACTTTTGCTACCGTGAACATTAAGTGAACTAAAATTCTGGGAACACATGTAAAGACGTTTATTCATGAAAAGAGCTACTATAACATCCACGCCATCTCAGGACGCAAGCTCTTCCATTTTCCTTGATATGGTTCTATAAACTCACTCGCGTGCGCCAAATGGGTGCAAAAATATGAATTGAAAAATAATGTGTAATAACCTGCCGCCACTGTGAACATAAACTTCTGCAAACACCTCCATTTTTCTCACACCTTGAATTTTTCTAATGTGAACATAAACTTTATAAAGTGAATTACAGTATGCTGAAGAAGGCCTTCTGGACTCATTGCAAACCTCTTATAATCTCACCCCAGGGCACTGCTCAATGAAGTTCTCTTGAAAATTAGAGGTCATAAAATTGACTTCGTCTTGTAATAGTATCTTGTACTTGTAGTCTTGGGGTAATGGCATGTTATTAAGGGGTGGGTGGGGTGACTTTGTGTGACCACTGGGTCACTGACATTGTCACAGAAGGAAATTGTGGGTCATTAGATAAAAGCGATGAACTTTCTCAGATAACCAAGAGATGGATGTTTTTGAGTGTTCTGCTATTCCCCCACTCTCAGTCTCCCAACGACTTTTTACAGCACATTCGAATGAATGGTCATCTGTGTTTGTAGAATCCATAGTTGTGGAATTTAAGCTTGGTTCCAACACATGAAAGGAACTCGCAGACATTTTCATTTTCATCTTCATCAGAAGATCCACAGAACTCTCTGAACCGTGACGGTGGGAGATTCCGTCTTCCCGCCACTTTTGATTCACTCCTGACATCATAATGCTTCTGACTTCCAGAGAGTGAGCACAGTGGAACTCTATATTATGTTGAAAATGAGATACACTTTCTACTTGACTGTACATTATATAAAGATGAATGCCCAAGAACTACACGATATTTTACATTTAGACAAGATATGCAAGAAAATGTCAAAGCAGGACATGTTTAAACACTTGATGTCATGCAAGACCGAATGTATAGCAGACAAACTATGTAATTATGTTTCCAAATGTTTCAAAAAGAGAGAAGAAATTGCAACTAACAGTAGATGATAGGTACAATGTAGTATATAGTATTGTTATAATGTATGAATTCCTAGCAATTAGCATTAGAATATAGCATCCCATGTACTCATGTTTTGCATACTGCATGTCCTCTTGTGCATTTAGCCCATTTGGGCAAGAACATGCAATAAAGATTCATATCATATCATATAACTAACAAAGTTAACTTCCATGTTCTTGTTGTTCCAGGCATGAGGCCGCTGCACTATGCGTCCTGGCAGGGTAAGCTGGAGCCTGTCACCCTCCTGCTGAGGGCAGGGTCCAGCGGTAACCTGGCCGCTCATGATGGACAGATCCCACTGCACCTGGCTGCACAGTATGGGCACTTCGATGTGGTGAGCACTGGCACAATATCCTATCACATTAGTGCTGTGTACCTAAACCCACGTTCTGGTTCAGATCCGGATTCAAGTCCAGAGGTTTAGGTTCAGATATGGACTTGTAACTTGCAAGTCCAGACCTGAAGCCATGGCATATACAAAATACAGAAGGGACTTCTCAGCTAACATTTCCCAATGGAAAGTGGGGCATTTTTACAAAATTTTGTAGCGAGCACTGCACTACCAGGGTTTAGATGCAAGATACTAGTATGTTGTTTGCAGGGCACGTCTGGGCAAAACTGTGGCAACATAATTTACAGAAGCTGACACTTGACAATGCCCAATGGCAATGTTTTCTTCATTTTGCAGCGCTAATTTTTGACCATTAAAGATTTCAGGTGGTTTAGAACAAAAAAGGGAATGTGACACAATTTTTTTTGTAAGTGCAGAACTAGTTCCAGACGTTCACTTTTTGGGGGGGGGGGGCTTGAACATAAACATTTTTTAAAGTCCGGAACTAGTGCCAGAGAACCGGTACACAGCACTAGTCCACAAACATATACAGTATAGTTTATACTGGTGAATTTTATCAAGTATAGTACCATGTCTTCCATGCATATGAAGTAACAAATTTATGAGTTGTCCTTCTTCCCTAGGTCAGCTATCACCATTACTTGTACATGTAGCTTACAGAAAACATATAAGCTACACTTTGTGCAACATGTATGACGTAAAACTTCAAATAAGTTTTCAACCTTCATACTTTAGATTTATACCTTCATTTCTTTCCTGTAACTCAGAATTATTGCCTTCTGCCTTTCACATAAAAGCTTCAAATCCTATGATTGATCAATTTCTTTAAGGTCTGGTGTTTTCTGACGGTCTGACGGTTTTCTGTCACACATCCAGATATATGCTTCTCATTTGTTTCCAGTGGTGTGTCTGGGTGCTAGAAGCATTCTGTCATCAATTACCATTATATGATCAATACCTTTATACTTTCCAAATTGTATGTTAATACTGTATATACATCATCTAGCAGAAATATATTGCAAGACTTTTATGAGTTTTATGATTCATTCAGAATTGAAGGTACCGGTACTTACAGTTGGGGAAAGGGACTAGATTTCTTGGTTTGGATTTAGAGAGAGTGAGAGAGAGAGCACAAAGGAAAGCACAAAAGAGAGAGGGGGGCACAAAGGAGAGAGCACAAGAGAGAGAGAGAGAGAGACAGTGCACAAAGGAGAAAGCACAAGAGAGAGAGGGAGAAAGATGGAGAGAAAGAGCACAAGGGAGAGAGTGCAAAACCTCAGAAAGTTTCTTCCTCAAGTTCCTGCAGCTCAACACATTTCTCTGATGTCTGTGCATTCTGAATGATCTTTATTTCCTACATATATGTCAAATGAATTGCATGCACAGGTTTTAAGAAGTATTTTTTCCTCCCTCCCCAGTCTGAAACCTTGCTGCAGCATGGCTCCAACCCCTGTATAGTGAACAACACCAGCAAGACTCCCCTCGATCTGGCTTGTGAGTTTGGTAGACGACAGGTGGGTTCACATTCTTACTTACTTGTACATGTACATGTACTTGTTAAGTTCTTCTCACTGTTCTCAAAGTAGACGACAGGTGACAGGGGGGTTCACATTCACTGGGTCAAACTTAACCCAAGTGGATTCAACTTGACCTGAAATTTTGGAGATGGAGTGAAATATGCTGTATTTGCTCCAAAGCAAATGTCTGCCTTTCCTAGTTGGTTTACAATATTAGGATGTTACTCATAAACTCATGCTGTCTTGCTTTAACTCATACATGTATTATCAATTACTAAAATATATGCTAAATTGGAATGTCATAATGGTATTTTGACTAACAACTGGTATAGAAAAGAAAGACTTTTAAAAAAGTCATTCACAAATGTAATGAGTTGATATGCATGTGGATTTGTTTTGGCAGGCATTGTTATTCTAATGTTTGATAGTATACAGGGCTCGAAATTCATTTTTGGGAATAGGTGTACTGGTGCATCCAACCTAAAAATTAGGTACATATAAAACAGAACCTAATTATCGAACTTACTGCTCCTCTTCTAAGCTTGAGTCTGAAATGGGAGCTAACTTCAAAATCTTACACAAGTACTACAACAAAGATTTTATTATTTTTCTGACCCTTAGATGCCAAGAATATCCTGTATACTATTATACATTATATGTGTACAAAAATACCTACAAAAATATTTGGGTTCACTGGTGCACCCACAGAACAAAATTGGGTGGATAGCTCCAAATTTGGGTGCACATGCACCCAGTATAACTATGAAGTTATAACTATGAACTTTTTGGTTGTTGTTGTAGGTGGTAGAGTTGTTACTGCACAGTAACATGTGTGCAGTTCTACTAGAAGCCACGCCCAGAGACAAGTGTGACAAGAATGGCATCACTCCCCTGCACCTGGCAGCCAGGAATGGCCATGTAGATATCATGAGGTGAGAACGAGAATCAAAACTTTGAAAACTAGTGTGATGTAAACTTGCCTGTAAGCTGTAGATTATATCTATTGCTTCATAAGAGGTGTCCCTCTGCAATACCTGTGCTTGTGGTGTGGAATACTAGGGCGGGCTCAAAATTAATGGTGACCCGATGGCCACTGACCACTTAAATTTAGGCCAGGACAACTAGAAAGTCTGGGACTTTTTTGGGGACAGTAGAAAAATAATCAACATCAGAATGTCAGCCCTATGTTGTTACTACTGGCTTTTGGCTCCGAAAAAGCCCCCCAAATTAAAATTGACTTCAAGCTGACTTGAAATAAAGTTGATTTTAAGTTGTTGTCATACATACTTCCCAAAAAACAGGTTGGGACAGTTCATCCTCACTTCAACACAATTGAAATTTATTTTCGGGACAATGTGGGGCAATAGGAAAAAAAGTTAATTTGTGTAAATTGTATGTACATATGTAGATATGTAGAAAGTTACCTTTCAGTGAATTTTGTACATGTACATGTACATGTACTTATGACCAGTATGGAGTAGTTCACAAAAGCACTGATTTCTAACATGTTCGCACTTAGGAGCAATACCGTACAGTTGATAAAGGCACCAATTTCTCTTACAGTATGTTGAATTGTGAGAAAACTAAACATAATGTGAACCATCCTACCTAGACTGAGGTTATCGGTATGTTTTCAGTGATCTACATTTTATATCCCCAGTCCAGGCCACTCTAGTAGAAGTCTATGTAGGTCATTCCCAAGTCATTAACTACAACAGACTGACCTAGCCGCACATTTCACAAGGTTCTTGCCAGCTGCACCCCAGCTCAATTACACCTAGGAGACCAACAAACTTGTAATAAGTGATAAAGTCTTAATAATCTACTGTAAGGCCGAGGAAAAAAAATGTTGTGTTTCCTGTTTCAGTCCTGAAAAAATTAGGGTCGGTAGGTAGGGATTATCTCTTTTTTTCTTTCTTTTTTTATTAGACTTTGACAATACAATTTAACAAAGTAAAACTTTCATGAGGACTTATATTTCCAATGTCAATGTTGGAAAACAGATTGTACAACGTTTCATCACACAGGTGTCGGATCATATCGCTAGAAAAGGTCGATCAGCTGAAAAAATTTATGTCTCTTGCAGGGATCCACACAAAAAAAGGCTAGGGTTGGCAGGTTTTTTTAGGGTCGGTCGGGAAACACAACACCTAGGCCTAATGGTGCCATCTCTTGTTGCAGGTTACTGATCCAGGCAGGTATAGATGTGAACAGGGAGACACTAACGGGAACTGCCCTACACGAGGCAGCGCTGTACGGCAAGACAGACGCAGTCAGGTTACTCATAGAGGTCAGTTTTTTCAGTCCTTCTTCACATTGCATACAGTACTTACTAAACTTTGCGATCAGACCAAGTATAGATTATGGCTTTGTTAAGCCTATGTGACTTGATACTGTTACATGTATGTATGTCTTCCAGGGCCAGCTGTAAAGCAGTGTCTTACACTGAGATAGGCCACCCTGATTAAATAAAACCGAAATAAAATAAACTAAAAATATAATGAGATATTTTACATAAGCCAGCCAACACACCAACAAAGAAAACAATGCTGATGAATGCATAACTGTCATTAGCAGAAGTTTTAAAGATATTACCATGAAATAGAATTCAAAGACAAACCAGACTCTACTACTGGATAAATTACAGATATTACTTCTGAATGTTACAAATGACATCCATTACTTTTCTTTAGTGTCACTAAAATTTTTTTAGTCACAATGAAGAAACGTCAGGAGTAATTTCCGTAATTTATCCAGAAGTAAAGTTTGATTTGTCTTTGAATATTGTTTACCTGGATGTCTAACATCCATCAACATAGTTAGTAACAGGGCTCGAAATTAACGGTGTTCCAATGGCCACTGAGCACCAAATTTTAGATCAGGACAACGAAAAAGACACTTTGGGACATTTTTGGGATAACAGAACAGTAATCAACATCAGAATGTCAGCCCTTCTTTTGTCTATCAGGCACAAGTCCCCACTTTTGGCTCTGGAAAAGTCTCCCCCCCCCCAAATTTCCTGTCTACTCTGCAATTATAGTGCGCCTGGGAGTCAGAAATAAAGTTGACTTCAAGACAGTCATACAATACTTTCCAAAAAATTGGTTGGGACATCATCTTCACTTTGAAACAATTGGAATTTATTTTTGGGACAGTGCTGGGACAATAGGAAGAAAAGTTCATTTCGAGGCCTGTAGTAAAAGAAATTTCCCCCTTGTTGTTCCACAGTGTGGAGTTGAAGTGAGCAGGCGGAACTCCAGGAACCAGACAGCCCTGGACATCGTGAACAAGTTCACCACCTCCCGCGGCAGTAAGGACATCAAGCAGATGCTCAGGGGTACGTCGGTTTCTTACAAAATGTTTGTTACTTGAGAAAAAGTTACAGTTGATGAGCTAGACTCTAAGAGAAGATGAATAGCACCCTCAAGAGTACAAAGTGCAATGGCCAGGAGGGTAGATGCAAAGTGCAATGGCCAGTTGGCCTGCATTTGGTAGGTTGTGAGTTCGATCCCTGGCTGAGTCATACCAAAGACTTTAAAAATGGTACATACACATGTACTAGAACTGCTTTCTCTGCTTAACATTCAGAATTTGAGAAAAAAGTATGGGAGTTTAAACACACACCACTTAGTGATTACACAACTGTGTGGCCCAAGGGCTACAGAAATGGAGATAGGCACGGCCATGTACGACAATGAACGGTTACAGGGAGGACTTTAACTTAACTCGAAAGTACTGGTGGTCTGTATTTGTAAATCTGAGTGTTAGGAATAAGATTGTGGTTTGTTTTCTTGCTGCTAACTGGTTCCTCCCATGTCTCAGGTGCAGCAGGTTTCCCTATGGCCAGGGCTGTCAGAGAACACTACAATGCTTATGACCCCACCAGTCTGTCATTCAAAGCAGGCGATGTCATCACGGTAAGAGATTTGGTAGTTGTCTACTAACCTTACATTCATGTAGAAGTCTTATTAGTCACTCCAAGAACTCTATGAATTTTCCAATGTTTTGACTTTAAAAGTGCATAGAAAAATGTGTGATTTTTATGAGAACTGATTGAGAACAATCTTCTTGATGATTTGTTGTCTTTCAATGAGTTAGCTCTGTCCTCCCATGTGATAGAGGTCTTGAGGGCTATGAGAAACCAGTTGTGTTAAGATACAGAAAATATCAATGTATTTTCATCAATCAGTGAAAGATACATGTACATAATTGACCAGAGTTGCAGTGTGGAGTACCTGTATCTACCTGTGTAGCCAATATAACCGCTACTTTGCGTAACAGTTACACACCAGCTTCGCAGGCACGTGGTGCGGCAGCAGCTGGCTACTTTACACCGAACGACTTGTTACACCTAACCATTGAACATCTAACTCCAAACATTGTTTAAAGCTATCTAGTGATGATGCCCCTACATCTATACCTATATCTGTGAATAGTTTCATCAGGTTGGTAAGTTACTGAGTAAAGACACTCTTTTTACACAACCAAGTTATTCACAGCCGACGTTTCGGTGACCGTCTGTCACCTTCCTCAGGGCAATTCTAACTGGTTCACATTGCTCTGCAGCACAGGTGTCGCTGCTATACAGTACCGTTCGCGTTATAGTTACCCTAACGGCCGTTACTAACGCGTTTTTTTTCCGTTACTTTTCCGTTACTTTTCCGTAAGTTTTCCGTAACTTTTGCGTAAGTTTTCCGTTACTTTTCCGTTACTTTTCCGTTAGACTTCTGCATTCATATGCAGGCCGCGGTAACATCACAGAATAATGGGAGGAGTACTAATTTACCTCATGCGGGGCGGGAAATTACCGATACACACCGCTGGAACAGCGGAAGGAACGTTGATCTAGCCTGCATTTTACTATATTGTAACGTTTAAAACGTTTTACGATCACCGGCGCAATTCAATTAGATAGACATTTTCTTTTGTCACTGTTGCCCAGGCAAGCGTTTCTATAGTTTGTCAACTTTGTTTTGCTGTTTTTCTCTGTTAACTTATTTTACCACCGAATAAGCAAACCTAGATGATCTGAAGTTATAAATGCCCCGGTCCGCCGTACATAATAGGAGGCGGGCGTGAGGTAACGTTTATAGGGATGTGCAAAAACATCGTGGAAAATTCCTATAACACTCGAAAAAAGGCAGCATATTTACACGTGCCCACCAACATTTTTATGGCTAATTATTGACCAGTTTTGGGGAGTTTTGTTATGTCCTTGGAGTTTTGTGTAGAGTGGGACGGAAAGCCGTGCCGCCACTCCGACTCCATGCACTTCCGTGTTACATTACGTTGTATGTGACCAACAAAATTACGCCAAAGGCACCACAAATCCACATGCACATATATTTTTTTCCCGAAAATTCTTTTGAGTACGCATTTCGTCACTAGGATGTTGCTAATTAGTCGTAGAAATAAGGTAGAAACCAGCGTAAATGTGGCTCTCTCGAGATCATTTCGCGCGGGGAAGGGCGCCCCAGCATGCAACGGGCTTCGTTCTAGCCAATCACAGCGCAGGTCATCTAAGGTGAACCAATCAGAGCGTAGCTACTTGCATATTATAATGAGCATGCTGCACACAGGGCGGCAGCGGCCAGGGCGACCGGCCCTGAGTGCGCGGGAAATGTGTTTTGCAACTATATTTTTACGGGGATTTTCTGACGTTTGACGCTGACTTTGGCACGATATGATCGCACTACCATGTACACGCTACCGTAGGCGGCAAATGAGTGGTCATTTTTATATAATCGTCGAGAAATTTTGGCGTTATGCACCCGGAAGTGAGCCGATCTCAGTTTGCGTTCCCTCGATTTTTGACAGTTTCCCCCCTCAAAATAAGAAACAAAACTACCGCTATTAAATAGAACCATGTATTACAATTATCATTTCAACATGATAGATCTATTATATATTCCTTTATTAACTATGATATCATCATGGTTGTGGAAAGTCCTCAGCTGGCGAACCGAGTCCTTGCGCCGGGAGTGACGGTACATTTTACCGTGAGTATTAAAGCCGCTAGTACTAGTAAGCCGCGCGCCTTACAAAAATTATAATAATTTTTCTTTTGTGTCAAAAACCGCCGTGAATTTAAGGCATGAGTTACCGATTTATATTTCTTCTACGGCAGATATTTCTTGTTTCGTCACGTCCCATGACGTCCTGTGAGAGCGGTAGGCCGCCGCTGGTACAAAATGTACAAGACATCGTCTGTCCACTGCTACACTTTGTTGACATACATTGTATTACTCAACGTAATTTTCCGCTAGAAATAACTATAGAATAGCATTAAAAGATAGCACAATTCGCTTCACACAGTCGACACATGGATAAACCACAAAGTTATTTTACGAATCACATGTCCACTTGCCTCTGGTGCTGTTATTTTTCAAGGGGCAACATCGCAACACATTAGCGGACGCCCCAGGAGGTGGCAAATTGCTATTGTCTTGTCGGCGCGCAAAACAAACATGAAATCCGACCCTATCACATTAACGCAAACGGTAACGCGTTAGAAATAATTTCTGACGATTTTCTAACCATTTTCTGACGAAAATCTAACCAAATACTGACGATTTTCTAACCATTTTCTGACGAAAAAATAACTCGTTAGTAACGGGGTACCCGGTTAACTATAACGCGAACGGTACTGTAGATGCATTCCCAAACGTACAATATTTACGTATATGTATGTGGTTACAGGGAACTGTATTGTACAATCTATACCTATACTTTATACCTTTCCCCATCCCCAGATAATCCAGGAGCACCATGACGGCAGGTGGAAGGGTGTGGTGTGTGATGAGGAGACTGAGAGGACGGGGTTCTTCGACCCCATGTATGTGGAACTCATGGACATGCAGAGAGTCAGTCAAGGTGAGCAACATTTTAGGAAAAAAAGTACACAGAATAAATAACTGGTACAATAGCTCAATCGGGTAGAGTGCTCACTTTGTAACCGGGAGGTCATGAGTTCAAACCCCGGCCGGGTCATACCAAAGACTTTAAAAATACTGCTTTCTCTGCTTAGCACTCAGCATCTATGAGAAAGAGTGTGGGAAGGTCAGACACACAGCACTACCAGTGGGCTAGCCCCCTGCTGTAGTCCTTGCAAAATTGTGTGGCGCTAGGGCTACAGAAATGGAGATGGGCACCACCCATATGCTCTGCTCAGAGTGGAATGGGTTTTTTTTTAAATAAAAAAGCATCTTCTACTAGTTTTGTTACCTACAAAGTTGTATGAAGTGTAAATATAACTATTACTAACACACTGAATTCACTTGTACGTCTTGTCTTTTGCATACACATAATCAGCTACCTATATGTATGTTCCTCAGTGCCTTTACCTTTATTTCCCTTTATTTATACTGGTCACTTGTATTTCTAACTAACAAATATTATACACAACTGCCAATAATCCAATTGTTATTGGGCATAACAGTACGAAAGAAGAAGAAGAGTTTTGACTGAAAAGTAGTTTTGGATGGGAGGTTCATTCACCAGTGAGGTCTGCTTGTCACTGATAACTGACTGTGAATGTCAGCAGCAGGGTTGTATAATACTATAGGGAGGAATAGACGCCAACTGACATGGCAGATCGCCAAAGGGTGGTGCCATGGTGTGACTACCCCTGTCTATCCATGGCCAGCCCCACCTGAGTGGGGGCCGCTTGCCCTTTTCCGTAGAGCGTAATCAGCCGTTTTAATTCTATGTAGAGCGTAAACAGACCGCTCTAATTCAACATAGAGCGTAATCGGCCGTTTTAATTCAATGTAGAGCGTAGGCGGACCACTCTAATTCAACGTAGAGCGTAATTGGCCATTTTAATTCAATGTAGAGCGTAATCGGCCGTTTCAATTCAATGTAGAGCGTAGGCGGACCACTATAATTCAACGTATGTTGGCGCATATTGCGTAGAGTGTAATTTGCCGTTTTGATTCAACGTAATGCGTTTTAGCTATCCGGAATTTATCGTAAAACGTAATGGGAAGGCTTCCTGAATTCAGCGTAATACATGGTCCTCAAAATTTAGCGTTGTCAGTACCCCCATGCAGGCCCTCCTGAGTTTGTGGCAGAATTTAGCATGGAGCATTGTCAGTACCCCCATATAGGCCCTCCCAAGTTTGTGGATCCCTGCCATTTGTAGTGTTCACTCTGATATTAGTTTGTGTGGGAGTTTTCTGTGGGAGACTGGTGTGTGTTTCTAATTTGTTCCATGTTCCTGTTATCAACAATCACCTTTGATAGGAAGCAAGCCTTAGGCAAGAATTAGTTCAGAAGGAGAAAAGAGATACCTGGACATGGCATGGTGCCCAGTCTGGTTTAGTTTGAAGCCACACAGTCTCCTGTTATAAATCTTATCGCTTTGGGGCACTGCCAGTCAAGATTTTACTGCTAAAATTTCATTTCCGACTGCAGGACTGTGAAGCATCACTGGAACATGTTATTGACTGCACTTGACAAGTTGCTGTCATCAGCAATAGTATCATCCAGACATACATGTACATTTTGTAGAGTGAGGGTAACAGTATGCATGCCGGTATAGGTTATGCTTGAATTGAGTTTATATGTCTTTATATCAGTTCTATGTTAGTAACATTTCACATGCACATGGTTAATGTTTGTGCCTTCCTCAGTATTGTCTTAGAACTAAAAAGATTCAAATATTAACTTGAAAGTTCATCTTTGTTGGTATACTTCATTATGACAAAAAGGATCAAAAATTCAAATATTATTCTCCAGTTTCTTGGCATCATATCAGTGTCTCAGAATACAGTAATGCTAAAATCATGATACTGTGATGTAATACTTATATATTTTAAGCAGAAAACAGATCTATCCATTTCTTTCACACACCCCACTTGTGCATTCACCCCACTTGATTCACAGTGATAGATGCATTGTAAACCCTCCTGATAGCAGTGAATGTTGCACCTTGGCAGAAGCACCTGGTCATCGACCCTCTTCCTGTCTGAATGAGGTTTTATCTGTCTGCAGCCTGCAGATGTTCTCAATATTCTTTCCTGATCTGACTGTAGATATTGTGCTACCTGTACTGGATTCCTTCCAGTTTTACTCATTCAGGCACAGAGATGCCAGATAATAGTATAAACTTTTCACCAAGATATAATACATACACCAGTTGAATAGAATCTTACTGGGCAGCCAGGAATATTGTTCTATTCTGTATCAATGTTGCATAGAAACAATGCAAATTGAACCTGCTTGACCCTCAAAATCATATTTTTATTGAATTTGCCCTTCTAAAACAAGGGCATCTGATCATGTCATGCAAATTTATATGACACTTTGAGGATTACAGTAGACTATACTGAGCCAAGGCAAGGACATTTCAATATGTTAAAGGCATCCAATGTAGTTTTTAGGGCTTGGAAACCCAATTTTTCAAATCCAATGTTCTAGTCATTTATCTACATACTGAGTTGAAACAACACTGTCACAATGTATATGGACATTCATGGAGCAAAAATGCCTAAAATTCTGACGAAAAACGATAACTGGAAAGACCTGGATTGATTTGAGGGTACCACCTAGAAGAATAAAGGACTAATCTTGGGGCTTGTTTCTGCAGTTTTAAATACCTACAAAATGTTAAGTACCAAATACTGATTCAAATGTGCTAATGTGGGATAGTATGTGTCAATATCATACAGATTGTCTTGTTCAAGATTCATGTACATTTGTATATCCAGTTTTGCTGCCCTGAAATTGAATAGGATGCCTTCAAGAGCTTATGGGTTGAAGGATCCACCAGACGGGCAAATGTCTCCAGTCTTGCCCCAGATCTAGTCTGTTCCTACCAGCAGAACAAACTTAGCTGTGGCCCTGACCTCCTACCTTACCTGTCAGGAGACAGAGGAACAGCTTACACATGTTTCCACATGCCATGCCAGGGGAATGTGACCCTTGTCTCTCACTGATGTACTTCACAACTTGGCAGGGAAACAAGTGGTGCCAGTCTCTCTGGGTTCTTTGACCTCTCTTCAAGTGTAGACACAGTTAGAATAGCACTACTTTTGAAAACTTCAAGAAACTAGAAAGGTTTACCTTCGCATATGATCTGCTCTGTTAATTCTTACTCAAAGACATTCTATATGTGGTCAGGCAGGAGGCTAAATCCATCCTGCTTAGCCTCCTGCTATAAAATTGCAACATGATGTAAGTAGCTAACCCAACACTAGTTACCATGGGGACAGACATCTGGTTCAGGTCATTGACCTTATTGGTTGGAGAACAAAAAGAAGAAGAAGAGGAAACAGAGCAAAAACAATATGTTTTCCTTCAGTAAACATAAATTCAGCTTTTTCAAATTAAAGTGCTATCTGCAGTTTTACATTTGTACGTTAGTGATAACTTTGGTTCTTTATGCTGTACCTGCGTGTCCCTAAGATATACCAGTTATGATTTACAAAAGTTGTACTAGACAAAGTATTAGTACCGTAACAAAGAGCCATTCCTGATCAATATACAATGTACTTGGCTTATGGCAGTTTGCAGGTTGAAGTTAGCACCATGAAAATGATTCATAGGACAACTTGACAGATTGGCAACTTTCCATGGATTCCCTTACTCAATTAATAAGTAATTTGCACATTTGGATGCAGGATAAACAGACTAACCAAACACAGATGCACAGTGGTCCTTGAGGTGAAAATCAAGTAAAACTTCATGACAGAAAGGAATGGGAAACTTGCATTTTTCAATTTGCGTTGGCAGTGTTTCAAAATTATACCAGCAGCTTCAAAAGTCAAGGCAGTCAGCTCAGGCCCTAAAGGGAATGAGTTTTACGGGACTAATTCAAGAACACTTGGCAAACAGTCAAAACCTAGCTGAAAAGTAGGGACGCAAAGAATGATATTTGACATGAAATAGATATTAAAAGAAAACATGACATTTCTGGGATAAGTTGCCTCATGCCAGTGAAGGTTAGACATCCAGGTAATAAGATACGAAAAAAAAACAGTCACTCAAGTTTATAACTAGATATGATTTTGGAAATGGTCAGACGTTTCAGGTAGCATCCACTACTTTTCGTCAGTGACACTCCCCAGAACTATCGTAGACTGGAACTCGTTGCCACCAAGCACAGTTGGGGCATCATCACAAACAACTCCTGCAATCAAATGTGCAAAGATTGTGTGTAACAAGTTGTTCGGTGTGATATAGCTAGCTGCCGCCGCGCCACGTGCCTGCGAAGCTGGTGTGTTACTCCGAAGGGCGGTTATACCGGCTATACAGATACAGATACAGACACTGGAGGGGAGCTCTTTTGTTGGACTTTCAAAATATTTGTCTTCAGTCTTCACTTATTTGCATCATTATAGTTCGTACTTATAAACCTGGTTTTCATACAACTCTCCAGTGTCACTGACAAAAGATACATGTAGTGGATGCTAGCTGAAGCGTCTGACCGTTTCCAAAATCATATCCAATTGCATGAGTAACTGTTTTTTGGCATAATTATGTTTACCGAAGGAAAACATATTGTTTTTACTCAGTTTCTTCCTCCTCTTCTGTTCCAAACACTAACCTCTGACCTGGCCAATGACATGATTTGTTGACGTCTGTCACCGTGGTGACTGGTGTTGGGTTATATAATGTTGCAAACTTCATGGTCTGCTCTACTCCAGTCACCATATACTAGTAGTACATGTATGTGTATGTGAATGTGTTTGAGTAAAAATTAACAAGTCAGACCATGTCCGAAGGAAGACATTATGCATATGCTTTGCAAATGTTACTTCTCTAGTTATAAGTTGTCTGACAGCTGCCAAAAACCAAAAGATCTTTCGGGAAATTAGCAGATGAGCCTCTGCCAAGTACAAATGCTTTCCTTCTATGTTTGCTTCCCTTGTGAGGAAATGACAATGTTATTTTTCCGTTTTACCAACAAAAGACAACTGTTTTCTAAAGGTTCCGTAGGGAAAAGATTCGTAGTGAGATTCAATCTTGGCTAAGAGAAAGTCAGACATTGTTGCCTTTGGAGCGTGGTTCAAACTTCAGTGCTTTGTACTGCCTTCCATCTATATTCCTTAGAGTGGGGCTGTTTTTACAAGTAAGGGATCTGTTGTTCAAATCATTGCAAGCATTTATAAATAGTTTTCTTAGCCACAAATTTTCATTGAGACTCCAAAAGCTGAATTTATCTTGATGTGGGAAGGTTGAATTTATCTTTGATAACATTGAAGACATTTCAGCAACAGTGTTATACCATAAAGCTTTCATAGCTTCATTTCATTCTTTGGGTATAGTCTTACCTGTATGTATTATTCCAGTGCCTCTTGAATCAAAGTAATATTTGGTGACTACAACCTACAGTTAAACTCTTAGTGAATTGAATACTGTCAGATGCACCTGAGACAGGGCTGGAAATACTGGGTGTATGTGCACCTTAGTGCACCCAAATTTGGAGCTGTGCACCCAATTTTGTTCTGTGGGTGCACTCGGGTGCACCCAAATATTTTTGTACATAGTTTTGTACAAATCAAATGTAGAATAGTACAGGATATTCTTGTCATCAGAGTGTCAGAAAAATAAGAGAATTGTTGGTGTACATGTAGTACTTGTTTGAAAGTTAGCTCCCATTGCAGTTTCAAGCTTAGAAGAGGAGCAGTAAGATCTGTAATTAGGTTTTGTTTTATATGGTGCACCTAAAAGAATTTTTGTGCACCTAATGTTTTAGGTTGGGTGCACCAGTGCACCTATTCCCAAAAATGAATTTCGAGCCCTGTGAGACAAGTACACTTTACGATGTTTTCCTGATCTACACAAGTCCCAACATCAATAAGCTTTTCCTTGATGTTTCTGATAATACCTTCAAAACCAGGTGTTCACAATCCAAACGACATAGGATAGGAGGTTTTTGATTGAAGGATACCCCTGCTATGTTTGCTAGGATTAGACAGTGAGATTCCACCTTGATCCCCTGCATACTTTGTATACATTATGATGTGCCGTAAGGACACAGCAAGTAAATTTTATGAATGTCATCCTCCGCAGACTCTAAATCTAATTCGAGCGGGTGAAAAAATACAAGCCAGGCCAAAAAAAACAAGGTTCCTACATTTTAAAATTTTGACTCAATCACTGTACAGATGGTTTTGATTCAGTGGGAACATCACATACACACAGCCAGCACCACATATCACTGCATCAAAGTAAGAAAAAAAACATTAAATCAGAGCCTTTTCTTGTCTCCTCTCTTCATAGTTATCTGTTATCCACCTTCCGGCATGGCAACAGACATCTTTGCCCATTTTTGGCATGTTGACCACTGTCAGAAGGCAACAAAATTTCTTGTTTTTTTCCCCAAATCAGGCAAAAATTTATGCGCACGCTGATGTCATCCATAAAAATTACTTGCTGTGGCCTTAGACAGTGAAATTCTGTCTTGATCCCCTGCATACTTTGTATACATTATGATGTGTCTGTAAGGACATGGTATCCTCTTAAACTCATTGTGTGTCCTGGGTCAAAGCCAGAAAACATGACAGTGGCCTCAAGCGTTACACTGAAGTATCACTCAGGAGTTAGACTTCAAAAGGAATCCTTGGCTACGGGCCAACTATTTGGTGATTGGGGATTTGGAAGATCAGTGGAGGGTCCTCTTTGAGGCCTAAGGAAAAAATGTTGTGTTTCCAGGTTCCCGACCGACCTTAGAAAAAGCTGCCAACACTAGGCTTATTTTTTGGTGGACCTCTGCGAAGGACATAGATTGTTTGAGCTGATCCACCTTTTCTAGCTACATGATCTGACACGTTTAATTATAAGTGATGAAACGTTGTACAATCGGTTTTCCAACGCTGACAATGACATTAAAAATGTGTCCTCATGCAAGTTTTACTTTGTTAAACTGTATAAGTTCAATCACTAGAGATCGTGAAAGTGTAATAAAAAAAAGAAAGCAAAAAAAAACACAAGGCAAATGTATAATGTTTACTTTCACATACAATGTAGGTCTGCTCTGTTAATTCTTACTCATTCAAGACATACATCTGATCAGACAGGAGTCTAAATCCCTCTTGCTATAAAATTGCAACATGATGTAACCCAACACTAGTTAGGTATTAGACACATCATTGGTTCAGGACTGGTCATTGAGGTCACTTTGTAGAAGAAGAAGAGGAAGAAGAAACTGAGCAAAAACAATATGTTTTCCTTCGGTAAACGAAAAATACCTACCCTAATTTTTTTCAGGACTGAAACAGGAAACACGGCATTTTTTTTCCTAGGCCTGAGGTGTCCCTATATCAAGTCTCTGTATTGCCTACATCTGCATTTATACTGTGCCAGCCTGGCTTTGAGGGTTTTTCTGGAGCACTTCCAGACTAAGCTGTTTCAATATTGCAGCAATTAGGAGTAGATGCCATGTACCATTTACACTAGGAAAGTGGTGCTTTGAATGGGTATCAGCTCACAACTTCATTTAGCCATGCTTGGAGCATTCAAATGTGCTCTTCCACCAGTCTTCCACCCATCCATTGTATCTGGGAGGTTATCTTAAAGATCCACATTTCTCTACATTTCGCATCCATCCATGGATGAAGAGAATAGTTTCTTGCTTGTTAACTTAACTGAGGATTTTGAAACTGGTTCCATGTGGCGAAAGATGCAGTTGAGTTGTGTTGAATTGGATTGTACTGATCTTGTTGGTGTCTCAGAAGATCTAATTGCTAAGGCCACGCCAATGTAATTTGTTGGTTCTCGGATTTTCCTCTTCATTTTTTTTCTGATTTGCAAAAAAAGAAAAGAGGAGCCATGAAGTCAACACAAAGGCTGGGCTAATATCTAAACAATGAATTTTGAACTTTTAATCAAACCACTGCATTGATAGATGGAAAAACTGTAACAACTAGGAAGAAAAGGACTTTCCTCAACTGCTGGGGGCAAGATATGAGCATAATTGAGTTGATTCAGAACCAGATTCTTTTTTTTTTTTGGCAAATCCGAGAACCAACAAATTAAATTGGTGTGACCTAAAAAGGAAAGTTACAGGTAGCCTAAAGCTTCTCCTTGGTTTCTGTGTTTTTCTTTCATTAGATTTTAATGCTGTGGCCAACTATAATACCATCTGTACCTACAGAATACTAGTATGACTCCAAACTGTGCTCAGATTACCATATATTTGTAGGGAAGTGTTGCCCCAGGAAATATTATTTGGTGACTTGGGCTGGCTTTGAAGTGTTGTTACCGCAGGCATGCCTTTGGCATGATTCAGACATTTGTTTAATACCGGTACCTCTCTGATGCTTTCCAGATCATCTTGGGGCTTTGGCTTGGATGTGTTTAGTTTTAATTGCTAGGTAGTAAAGTGGTTTGCCTTCAAGCTAAAATACAGCCTCTTAAGAGAGAATCTAAAGCAAATATTGCATTCTAACTTGTAAGTGTAGATTAATTCTAACTGTTGAAAAGAGTTAGTGCTGTGTATCTAAACCCACATTTAGGTTCAGGTCTGGATTCAAGTCCAGAGGTTTAGGTTCAGTTCTGGACTTGTAAGTCCAGACCGAAACCCATGACATATACAAAATTGCATGTTGGCAACCTTGGAATGTTGTCTGGGCAAAACTGTGGCCACATAACATGGAGGCCGACACTTGACGATGCCTGATGGCAATGTTTTCTTCATTTTGCAGCACAGATTTTGCACTATATGGAAGCTTTTAGGTGATTTTTTTTTGGAATTAGTCCGGAACTGTTTCTTGCCTTTTAGTTTTTTTTTTTACTTGAACCTAAACATTTTTACAAGTCCAGAACCGGTCGAGTGAACCGGTACACAGCACTAAACAGAGTAAATTCATTGCTGTAGCATAATTTACAGACTCAAATGTTCATGGTCATGTTCAGGCCTGGGTGAAAATGGTTAAATCAATGTTGCACCACTGTGATGTTTGCCCTTTTAAATTACAACCTCAGTAGGCTAAAGGGCGTTAGAGGTTTGCTGGTGATTGGACCCAGAGTGGTCTTTTAGGTGTGTCTCTTGGCATGGAGTCAAGGTTAGGGTTTAGTGTGAGATGTTCCAGAGCACTTCACATGTGTTTACTGGTTCACCCCACCCTGCTCTCTGGCTATACATTGTATGTCACACCAGTCACTCCCTGAAGGAGCCATAGTTTATGTTTGACAGTTACAGTTTTGAATGCCAGCCAGAAGTTTGAGGAAAAGCTTGGGCCCTCTCCAAGTTATAATTATTATCTATTATTTAGTTTTATGATTAATTTTTTTGTTTTCTTTTGATCACCACAGATTACACTGATGGAGGGTTACAGCCATATAACACCTTGCAAAAATCAAGTAAGTTTCGTGGAAGGAGTGTTTTTATATAGAGTCCGGGGTATTTGTTGTAACTGATGACATGGTCAAGAGAGCCCCCTATCTTATTTGCAACAAATCACACAGATCACTTCTCAGATGGCTGGCAGTTAAAAATGGAGCTGTTCATGAAGCTATGTGTTTACGGTAGTGGGGAGGGGGGGAGGAGGGGCAAAAGACAAATGATTTGTTAACAGTAATGATTAGTTCACAGTACAGAGTTACCAAGAAAATGGTGAATATAAAAATACCGTGGAAAAACTCTATAAATACTTTATACATTGTACATGTACATGTATGTCTAATAATCCATCTGAGGTGTGCAAATTGATACAAACTGTACATACAAGAATCAATGATATGCCCACATACACAAAATGGACCTGAGCAAGCTTCTTTTTATCTGACAGTCTATTTTTCTTGTTACAGATAACTACCATGGCTACCATCCCTATGCCACGCTGGGACCCCAGTTTCCCCACTCCACCTCGGATGGCATGACACCACCGCAGGGGGGTATCCCCCCACCCCAGTCCCCAGGGGGGTCCGGCGACGTCCCTGCCCCCTACGCTGCGTACCCCCAGCCTCCCAGAGATCTACCAATGGGCAGCAGTGCTTATCCGGAACGTGAGGATTCAGGAATATACTCAGAATCTCCATCTACAGCTTCATTCAAGAGAGGTATGTGTAGCAACACCCTCTGTCTGTGCATAGAAAAACTGCAGAGGTTTGTTTGTGCACTCAGTCCACATTACACCAGAATGTCTTCAGGTTGCTTACACATTGATGGACTGCTTCATACAACTCATGTATTATCAGTGTTCTCGCCAGGCCTTTTGAGCATAGCGGGCCGCTATGCTGTGAATTTGTTCCGCTACGCTGTAATTTTGCCGCTATGCTGTGTTTCCAACAAGCATAGCGGGATTTTCAGTTGATTTTTACCCCTTTGATCTCGGCTACCGTCGCAAATTATAATCCTTGCTTTAAACTTGATAAAAATGATGTCTTTGCTCTCGGCACAAATGGACCTATACCATTATTACGTCACAGTTTGTTTACCTGTTCTAAAGAACATTCTAGAACAGTCAGTTAAAGAATAAAGATCATTTCAAAGTTTTCAAAGTCAGCTATGTTTGATTTTTGCTGCGTCTAGTTGTGTTGACACAGCATTACATACCGCATGGGTGATTTAGTTGTGACATTAGACGAAAGTAGTACTGTATTAAAAGCCTTATATTAGGCTAACGCTACACAAACACACACCGCGCTACGCACCCTTGTACAATATAAACGTCGATTGACCGGCATTCATTGCGGTAAACAAACTGTGACGTAATAATGGTATAGGTCCATTGAACATCTCATAGAACGCAGTTATCAGTAACAAAGAAGTGATTCACAACCTGCTGTGAGTTAATTAATCAAACTCCCCAAATTGGCGGCGATAGACGGGCGTAACATACGGGCGTGACAATGTCAGGCCGTCAGGGGCGGCTCGCGAGCGGCGCGCTAAGTTTTGCCTGTACGTTCAAGCTCAGTACTCGGAAACAAACATTATCACTTCCATCAGTACCTAGTCTTTGATATTTCCTATCAATTACACCTTAAAACTAGCAGAAATACCCAAATTTTGCGAGATAAACAAGGACCGAAGTGAGAACTTGAACCACCGACCTGCCCTCCCCATGCTTGCGAGGCACATGGCACGGGCGTAAATAAAGCTCTAATCCAGAAACCTGGGTGCCATTATGTACGCCACTCAACAGCATACATCCTTTATTGTTCTCCAAACATGTCAACTTTTTTGGCTGGATCGTCTTGCATGGAGAAATTTACCGAAAAATTAAACAGACAGCGCTAACAAGGCCTGGGCGGCCTGCAGCATGTTTTGGATAAGTTCATTTCAAGGGACCACGATGTCTCAAATCTAATGTTGTCTACCTTTCAACATCTGTCAATACAATTTTAAATTCAAAATCTAAGCATTAATATATAAATGTGCCATGTTGTTCCTGCATAATATCGTATTTTTTTATCATTTGACAAGGGTTTGAAGTATTTCCAATAAACTTTCCCCCTGTTTACAGAACAGACTCTTCCAAGATGGCGCGCACGCAACACATGTTAGAAATTGACATAGCTGCACAGAAGCCAGTTTTCACGGTGTTTTCCCTCAGAATGTTATTGATTTCGTCGGTAATATAGCTCATTATCAAGTAATTCCATCATTTTACCAATATAATTTACCAATGCCACGAGGAAGCACTGCGTATTCACCAAAGAACCTCTTGTTCAAGTTGTTGGCTGCCGATGTTGTGTTGACAGCATAATGTTGACAGATGAAAGAAACCCTTTGAACTGTGCCGAGGCTTGAGCTTGATGTCGCAAAGTTAAAATATCAGAACAAATTCTAAAACATGATACAAGTGTACTCCAGTAGTTTACTTTTTGAAACATTTATAAATATGAATAACAGATTTATAGTCATTTCAAAATGAAATATTTAGTAGTAAAGTATAAAAAAAACTTGCACAGTGTCAGTGACTTGGAATGGCTCTATATTAATTAGTCTATACAGTGTCTCTGAGTGGCTGAGTATTTTGCCCAAGACCTGTGCCAAGCATAAGTAACTCCATTTATTATGACCCTTCATGAATTTGGAAACAAATTTTGGATTTAAACCTTTAAAAAAAGCTGTAACAAAGATGAAAACTTTTTCAAAATTTGACCCTCAAAATGCAGGAAATGGTGTTTCAGAGGGCTATATATTTCAAAATTTTCCGGGGGAGGATACCCCCGGACCCCCCTACATTACTCGCGCCTGCGGCGCTCGCCCTCGCGCCTTCGCCGCTCGATGTGTGGCCCGGCCCAAACCTGGCCCCCTATGCTGTGAAAAAATCCTGGTGAGAACACTGATTATCAAAAGCCCCATCTAGCTTCATAGTTAGAATTGCAGCTATCTTGTCTAGTGTGAAACAGTGTTTTCAGGTATCTTATTTCAGTGTACATGCCATAATATGGACGAAACTTGCACATACATGACAACTTATGAAATAATCAATGTTTTTTATTACCATGCTTTTTTCACCTTTCATTCATCTCCATTCTCTCTCTTTCCATCCTTCTCTCTCTCTCTCTCTCTCTCTCTCTCCTGTCACCCCTGTAGCTTCTCTTGACGCCAGATTTTCCGATCCCCCAACAGATAGCTACGATCAGCTGTCGGGCTACGGAGGTCGCCCAACCGGGGTCATGGGACTGGAGAGTGGGTCAGCAACTCTGCCCAACAGGGGAACAAAACACAGGGTAAGGGTAGGAGTGGGAGCACAGTTTGTAAAATGGTAAAAGATAGTTCGATTACGTCGGTGAAGGTTAAACATCCAGCCTTTCCAGGTAATAAGATACGCCAAAAAATAGTTACTCAAGCAACTGAACATGATCTTGGAAACTGTCAGACATTTCAGGTAGCACTTCCTTTTGTCAGTGACACTGGAAAGTTTTCAGAAAAGCAGGTTTACAAGTACGAACTAGTGTTTGATGTGCAAATAAGTGAACACAATTTTTTAAAATTTAAACTGACAGATCTCCTGTGTCACTGAGGAAAGGTAGTGGATGCTACCCGAAACGTCTGACCATTTCCAAAATCATAATTATGCAGTTGCTTAAAATTCTGACGGAAAATGGTTACTGGAAGGGCCCTTGGCTGATTTTTTTTTTGGGGCGGGGGGTTGTTTCTGCAGTTTTAAAAGCCCAAAGTACTAAATACTGACTCAAATGTGCTGATGTGAAGCAGTATGTGTCAATATCACAAACTTTAAGATTGCCTTATTCATAATATTTCTAGTTTTGCTGCCCTAAAATCACATTGGAAGTCTTTAACAACAGAATGGTACAGTTACAAATTTGTTTACAAAACAAATCTTCTTCCATGAAAGGTACTAATACATGTAAAAATGTTCTCATTTCTGCTTTGTCAGTATAACTACCACCAGGGAGATGGGACAGACACCCCCGACACCCCGCCCAAGAGGAAGTCAGACATGATAGAGGGGGCGGAGGCAGAACCACCGGCGTACAGCGAACCACACCTGCCTCCTGCCGCACACCCGCCATTCCTCAGTAAGAACTTTTATATGATTGTATATGCTGGGGCCAAGGAAAGAAAATGTTGTGTTTCCTTTTTTCCCGACTGACCCTAGAAAAAACTGCAGACCCTAGATTTTTTTAAGACCTCTGAAAGGGGTTGATCAACCTTTTCTAGCTCCATAATCTTACACCTGAGTAATGAAACATTGTACAATCAGTTTTTGAACATTGACATACATGTAGAAAACTTTACTTTAGTTTGATCACTAGAGATTGCCAAAGCCTGAAGAAAAAAGAACAAAAAAGATAATCCCTACCCACCGACCCTAATTTTTTCAGGACTGAAACAGGAAACACATTTTTTTTCTTAGGCCTGGCTAATGTTACTCCTGTATCTTGTCATTGTTTTTATGTTCACATTTGTCACATTCCCCTTTTTGGTGTAAACCACCAGAAATCTTCAATAGTCAAAAATTTGCGCTGCAAAATGAAGAAAACATTGTCATTGGGCATTGTCAAGTATCGGCCTTCTTAAATTATGTGGCCACAGCTTTGCCCAGACATGCCCCGCAAACAACATATCTTGCTTCTAAACCCTGGTAGTGCAGTACTCGCTACAAATTTGGTGGTAAAGATCCCCCATTTTCCATTGGGAAATGTTAACTGAGAAGTCCCATATTTTGTATATGCCCGGACCTGAACCTAAACCTCTGGACTTGAATCCGGACCTCTCTCTATCTTTTTGTTCTGATACCCTTTAGCCAAAAGGCTAATCTTCCAGGGTTCATTCGAAAAAAAAAAACATACATAAAACAAATAACATAGTAAAAACGCATACATTCAGTGTACATGGATAACACAAAAAAGAGATTTACACTATACTAATACACTATACTAATGAAGGAACATAATCTACAAACTAATCACACATGTCACACAGTATGAACAGTTGGCGAATAGCTTTCTTAAAGTTAGATGTGCTGGTCAGTGTTTTCATTATAATTTTGTAGTGGTAATTTGTTCCAAAGGACCTGAACCTGAATGTGGGTTTAGATACACAGCACTCATCTGTACTGCTCTTTCTTCCCCCTTCACAGCGAGTAAACAGGCAAAGTACGACACTCCCAGGCCTCCGAACGCAGCCATGGGGGACGAGGTGTGGCTGCCGAGGAAGTCTTCGTCTGACAACGGGAGCGCAGGCAGCAGGGACAGTGTGGGGAGTATGGGCAGTGGGCGCAGTGCAGGGTCAGGACAGAGTCAGAGTAGCGGGGGACAGGCAGTCGCACAGACACAACAGATGAGGGTCAGTACTTTAGTTTTTTTCTTATTTTTATGGAGATTTACCACATTTGGGGATTGACATAAATCTATGGCAAATGTGCAGATGTTGGCACATTGGTGCACCAAATCCGTAGTGTGTTTTTGGCACACATTTAGACAGATTAGCCTAAGAGGCTCAGTGGGCATCACTCCACCGTACAGGGAGGGAAGTCATGAGAAGTGCCTTTTCCAAGTGCACAATGTTGGGGCATGGTGAGTATCAAACCCAGGGCCTATTGGTTCAACGCTCTAACTGTTGCGCCACCGATGCCACACAACTGATAGATTAGGCCACACCAATTTAATTTCTTGGTTAACGGATTTTTCTAGAAAAATAATGGAGCGGGCGGGCGAAAAAAAAATAAAAATAAAAACAGGCCTAGGCATCGTATTATGGCCCAAAATGGTACGATAGGAGCCATGAAGTCAACACACCAGGCTGGTTCAAAACTTAAACAATGAATGTTGAACTTTTAATGATACCATTGCATTGTAAGATGGAATAACTGTAACAACTAGGACGAAAAGGACTGTTTTCAACTGTTCAGGACAAAATATGAGCATTTTGCAGTTCATTCTGGATTTTTATTTTTATTTGCAAATCAGAAAAAAATGAAGCGGCGAATCCGTTAACCAAGAAATTAAATTGGTGTGGCCTTACCCACAATTAATTATTTATTTATGGAGATTTACCACATTTAAGGAAGGATTGACATAGCAGGTGACTATCACTTTTTCAAGATGTCAAACCTGAGACCAGACTGTAAGGTTTGAACCACTTACACAGGGAGGAACCCCTGCACTTTTCAATTAGTGTGGTGGGATCTTAAATGTGCTCAAGGTGTAGCTCTCCCGATCATGGGTCTTTTGGCTTTGTATCCTATCTGAGACGACGTCAGCCAAAGCTACACATTTGTAGGTACTCATGATCATTTACACCTGAGTGAAGTCTGTTACACCTGAGTAAAGTGTCCTGAGGAAAGTTGTATTAAGTGCCTTTCCCAAGGGCACAACATCAGTGACATGGCAGGATTCGAACCCGGGACCTTTTGGTTCCGAGTAGGGATTGTGTTAATTCTATAGCTGATAGAGAATGCTTGATCCGCCAGTGTGTTTCCAGGACATGCACAGTTTACTGAAAGCCAGATTCTGTAGCCCATGAAGGCAAGTACAAACATCCCCATAACTTGCGTGAGTATCGAACCCAGGACCTATTGGTTCCAGGATAACCCACATGTAATGCCCAGATGGCCCCAAATTTCCTCACCTGTGCTTCTGTGTGTAGTACCGGTAATCTCTGACCCAGTGTCACAACCATTTCTCTTCTCGTCTGTCATGTCTGCAATGTGATTTGGAATTGGCTCCGTGCCAATCTAGGCCGCCCCATCAGCGAAATTAGGTTTAGATTGGCCCGGTTCTATTTACGATCATGACATGTCAGATTTTATCCCCAAACAACACCAATCAATACGCAGCCCGCTTTTTTAGTGTGTCAGTGTCTGAGGCTTAGATTTTCCGTTTTAAAAAAATCTAAGTCTTCTTTTAAATATTGTTGTACGACTTTCAATGTGTGTCATACTGTGACAGTTGATGTATTAAAGACCTCATTATAAGGCCAGACCAATTTAATTTCTTGGTTAACGGATTCACCCGCTTCATTTTTTTTCTGATTTGCAAAAAAAAAAAAAAGAATCA